AACCAGCCACAAATAAACACTCTCCAAACCCAAGGGGCAGCATCTGACTCAAATGCCACCATCAAGGGGAATGCTCTTTTTGTTTTTCAGATTTCTAAGAAAAATCTCAGGTATTATCAAGTATAATTTTAATTATGTTTTTATGAGGAATGATGCTTGTTGTATAAAATGCAAACAGCACAGGGTGCTGAAATACAGAGGTCTCCTCTTGCCTGTACTTGGCTTCATAACACCTGTCCCTGAGGTAAGCTCTGATGACCAACGGGTCTGCAGCCTTCTGGACATCTTTACGCAATATGGACAGGGAGAGACATGTATTTTTTAATGGTATCATACCACATCAGGTTCCACAAATCACTTGCCTAAACTAGATGACATGTTCTGGCTTTCCACCCTGGTATTAAGCTCTGTCCCATTCTTTTCTCTCAGTGTCCCCAGCACCTAAAACAGTGCCTGGTGCACAGAAGATTTGCATCAAGATTCACTGACTGAATGAAAGCATGAGCTGCTGCCTAAAATCACATGGTCTGGAGAGGTCCTGATTATGTCACACACCTCCTGGCAGACAATTGGCTTGGCCACACTGACCATCCCCACCCAGGTCTCTTTGCTCCCTATTGAGAGGGTGTCTGTAGGAGAAATCCCTGGTGAGGAATTGCCAGGTCAAAACTTTAATGGCTGGAAAGGCAGAGTGGACCTGTTCTCCCAGGCTGATGTGAGGGTTCCAGTGTCCCTATTTCTCAAATGGATTAGCCTTATTTAATGACTCCACCCTTCGTCCTCAAATCTCCTTTTGTCCCCCCTGAATAAATAAGAGGATATATCATTGTATTACTTCTGAGCAGCACTAGGGAACCAAAAGCTACACATGAGGAGCTACTCTCTAGACAGTAAACGGAAACAGTTACACATGCAAAATTTGAAACATGTCATTAATTTCTAAAAATGGACATTTTTTTAACCGCCAAATTCAGACAAGTACCCACTGACCCCTTCCCCAATACAAAATAAGAGAAAATTAGGACCCCCAGGCACTCCCTCCCTCTCTCTCTACTCTCCTCCATCCCAATCCAGGGGGCCAGATTTAGCAAATAAAAATACAGGACACCTAGTAAAGTTTGGCTTTCAGATAAGCAAAAAGTGAAATTTGTAGTACAAGTACAAATATGTCCCTTTTTGGGTGGTGAGCACTGTCTGTTGCCCCAGCTGCTGGGGATGCGGTGAGCACATGACCCTCGGGTGGCAGCCCTTTGGGGGCGGGGCCACTCCTGCTGCAAGCCATGCGGCCAAGCGCAAGCGCTGGCCCGGTGCCGGATGGAGGCTGAGGTCTAAAGGCCTCACCATTCCAAGCACATTCTGCTCTAAAGGGCCCCTCTAGTTCCGGAGCACCCCTTGGGTCCCTGAGGGCTCCTGCTGGGCCAGCGTCTGAGGTCTACTTGTCCCTCTGGTTGTCCTGCTTCCATCCCATGCTGTCCACAGGTGAGGCTCAGGGACCTCCCTCCCCCTCCACACACATTAATGCCCCCACCTGCTCTGTGGGATCCTGGCCTGCCCCAGCAGTCCCCAGTCCCCATCGTCCCCTCGAGTCCACTGGGCTGGAAACCAGCCACAGAGTGCTCACAGCTGGTGGGTCTGGTGCTAGCTAACACGTTTTCTTTTTTTGGCTTTCCAGTACATTCTAAAATTTCCACAACAATCATGTATCACTTTGGTAATAAAAGAAAACAATAAAAGCTTTTTTTTCTTTAAGAAAAATGTAAAACCAAAGCAAGCACCCCTCACCCACCTGGCATCCCCTCCCCTCCCCAACTGCTTCCACCTGCTTCCCCAGGGAGGTCTCCCCCAAATCAGTGATTTCCCCCACTCAAACGTTCTTCCCTGTCCTGCTAGGCCCACAGGCACTTTCACTTCTCCACTGAAGGCTTCTACCACCAGCTTGTCCCTGCTGGGTGTTATATGCAAATTTTTTGTTTCCTCATCTCCTGTTGGAAGAAGAAAAATGCTGTATGAGTTCTAAGACTGGTGAGGAGAGGAAAGGAATGATGGGACCAATAGGCACTGGCTCATTGCGCAGGTGCAAGCTAGGGCTACTCAGTACCATGCCCTGCAGATGCCATGAACAGGACACTGGACACAGACCCTGTCCCCATGAACTTCACGGCCTGGGGATGCGGGTGGGGGGGGGCCATAATCCAAAGCCACGGAAGAAACTGTGTGAGGGGAAGTGAGCAAGGTATGAGGACGGGGGCTCCCAGCCCAAGCCCAAGCTTCTGGGAGGAAGAGCAGCGACTCCAGAGGGTGAGGAGTGTGTGGGGAGGAGGAAGGGTACTCTAGCAGGGGCAACAGCCAGGGCAAAGGCCTGCAGGTGGAAGAAGCCTGACTTATTTGAGGAACTGAAAAGTTTAGAGCAGCTGATGGGCAGAAGGAGGGTGAAAAGGGAGAGGAAGCCCAAGCACAGCCACATTAGGGAGACTGCACTTTGTCCTCAGGGCACTGGGGAGCTACTGAAGGATGCGGAGCAGGGGAGTGACAGACTCCAATGAGCATTTTACAGAGATTGTTCTCCTGCTCTGTGAGACCCATTGATATGGTGTTATTACTCATCCACAATTATCACAGTCACATGTAATCATGCACATACTACCTACAATGCAGGGACTTTGGCCATGGCGTACCTGAAGCCTGTATCTCCACAGATAGAGCATGTCCCCAGTAGCTAGGTGCACAGCTCTCTTGATCTGGCAATAGGGAGTACAGGTTAAGAGCACAGCCTCCGGACCCTAGATTCAAATTCTTTCTCCTCCATTTTCAAAGTGTGACCCTGAACAGATAGTTTCTCTGTGCTTCACTCTCATTTGTAACATGGGAATAATAATAGTACCTATATCATTGGGCTACTGTGAGGATTGAATGAGTTAAAAATACTTGGGACAGGCCCCGGCACATGGCAAGCGCTATGTGCTGTTAGTTTTTACTGTTACCACTGCACCCTCCCCCTCAAGGTCCCCACGGCCAACCACTTGAAGGCACTAACTAAAATACCCTCCACTTGCCTCCCTCGACCCCCGAAGCACCTTCTTCTTACTCTCTCCATTGCTAGGGGCCAGGACAGAGCCAGAGGGGAGGATCCTCTGGGCTCTAGGACAACCAGACACTCAGACCTGGCTCTGTGGCCTCACCCCAACTCCCTTGAACCAGGAACTGTGTCGACGCAGCTCTGCTGCTGACCTTCTCTGGGCCTCAGTCTCCCTCTCTGTAGGACAAGGACAAGAACGACTCACAGATGTCTTATCAGCATGGCTGTCAAAGAAGTAACAAGGGGTGGGAAAAAGCTCTGCAAATGTCCACGTCTGTCACAAGCATGAGAACCCTTGGTGGCAGCCTCTTCTTCTGGCCTGGGTTTACTCCTCCACACAATGGAGTCATGAGATTTGCTCAGAGCTCACTATGAGGACACCAGAGGCTGAGAATGGCCGAGTTTGAAGCTTCCAAGACTCCCTAATGCTGACTGTGACTTTCCCAAGGGCTTGGACAGAAGGACAGAGAGCTCTGGTCTGAGCTGAGTACCCCAGGAAAAAAGTGCCAACCCAGGGGCCTAAGGAAAGCCAAATCTTCACCCAGGGTCTTCCACTAAGCCTAGACTAGGCCAGGGCACTCAAACCAGGGTCCCAGAAAGACCGTCTGGAGACTGCAGCGTTTATCTTTAAATGCCATAGCTTCCCACTAGCTCCAGGTCCAGGAAGGGCCTAAATGGGATTGTCCGTTTTCAGTGGCTCCTCAGTCCCAGGGGGATGGAAGGAAAACATTAGAAAGGGGCTCAGCCCCTTCCTTCAGGTTGCCAGCTATTTCCCAGAGTTCAAGTTCATTCGTTCACTTATTTCACAAACATTTACTTGGTCCCAGACCCTGGTCACATGCAGGGTTGATGACATAGAAGAATGAAACAGGTTCATACCTGGAAGGTCTAGAGAGCAACAGACAAGACATAAGTAGCCAAACCACAAGGCAGACTAGGTCAGAGACAACGCAGGGCAGGAGTTGAGGATCTCAACTGTCTATCAAGGAAGCTGCCTGGAGGGGGTGGCTTTTGAATGGTGATTCGGACATGTGATGAGAAGGCCAGGTTGGGTGAGGGATAGAACCTCCAAAATCATTGGCAGTTCCGTTTGCACTCTGCTGTGCCGCAGCCAGGGCAATGTGGGTTATTTATGGTTATGCCCAGAAAAAAACGGCCACATGTGTCACTGCACGTGGGGTGCAGAGCAGGGTGAAGGGGGTGGGAGGCAGCTGGGGCTTGAAACTGGTTCTGGCCAAGCCCTGGGGTTTGTCACTGCGTCCCTCACGCCCTGATGACCTTTTATTGTTTTCATGGCCTCCTGTACAGCAAAAATTGGGGGGGGGGGGATATGGGGAGTTTCAACAGGCAGCAAGTGGCGTGGGGAGGAAGGGCAGTGACAGACTGACCATGGCTTCTGCTGTATCTGTCAGCCATTTAACGTCACCTCCTTCTTCTCCACTCCCATCCCAGCTGCGGGGGAAGGAGCAGAGGGACTGAAGAAAATATCTTTAATTGTAAACCAGACAGGGCACAGGGCTCATCAGCTGCTGTGCTTCTCCCCAGCCCACTCTGATCCATGAATGGCCTCTGCGCCAAGCTGGCACCAGCCCACCAACCCCGCTGGTACTCCAGTGGCCTGGGTCCCAGCTTCCCAAGGAACCCATTTCCTGCGTTTTCCCATGGGTGAAGGCCTCCGCCGCCAGCTCCTGCTGCGAAGGGGCCCACAGCAGGGGCATCTTATCACTGCCTGGGGGATGTCCGCAAACCCCAGCGCTTGTAAAGCACCCCGGCCAGCCGCGCTCACCTCTCCCCAGGTAACTGCCCAGTCCTCCCCCGCGCTCTCCCGGGAAGACGCCAGTCTCTGCGCCCGCTGCCAACACGCACTCCCTAAATGGACCCCCCTCCCTCCCCACCTTCTCTATCCAAGGGCCAGACCCCATACCTGGGGGCAGGAGTGCCCAGCACCAACGGCGGCGCCACGGCGCCTAGCGTGGCGTCTGGGGCCCGGCCTCAAGCCCGGACGGCTTCCCGGGGGAAGAGGAGGCTGCGCTGCCGCTGCCACCGCCGCCGCCGCGTCTCCGGGATCTCGCCCAGGCTGCGCGAAGGAGGAAGGTCAGAGCCGGGGGGTGGGGGGTGGGGGGAGGTGGTTGAGGGAGGAGGCGTACACAGAGGAGCGCAGATTAGAGAGGCATTTTTAGCGAGCCAATGACAGGCGGCGCAGGGCGGTGCGGTGCCTGCGCAGGTGGAAGGGCCGAGGCTGCTGTGGAGGCAGCTAGCGGCTTAGCTGGTCCCGGGGAGAACCCCTAGCTTCCCCGGCTCCCGGGCCGGCCCCCTCCCCCAGGGATGCTCCCAGTCGGGGCAGAGGGGCTCCCTTGAGCGCTCCTCTGCGACCCTCCTGCAGGTGCGCAGTGCACCCAGGGATGTCGCTCCCTTCCCCTCTCTACCCTTTCCCCACCTCCCTGTACTTTCCTCCGGCCTTGTCTGTCTGTCCGTTTCTGGCCTCTCCTAATCCTGCGTCTTTTGGTACGTGCGGGTGCATGTAGGGGCGTGTGTGTGCGCGCGTGTGCGTGTGTTGTAGAGAAACGGCCCCTTCTCCCCGACTATCCCACCCAAAACACCACCCCATCAGCTCCTCCCAGAAGAGCTCTTGTTAACCCTTTGGGGTAGTCACTAACCCTTCTGCCCTAGTTCCAGCTGGACCTGCTGTCACCAAGGCAGACTCCAGGCCATCTCCTTGGGGATCTCTGTGACCACCAGCGGCCTTCACTCTTCCTACCTTGAACCCTGAATGCTTCCAGGAGCCCGGACACTGCCCGGGGGTGGGGGGCATCTGGGGCAGCTCGCTTTACTGCAAAGACAGGCAAGGAGCTGATAATTCACTCGACATCTATCTGTAGAGCCCTGGTTGGGTGGCTAAGTTGGTTGGAGCGTCCTCCTTACACCAAAAAGTTGTGGTTCAGTCCCAGGTCAGGGCACATACCAAGGTTACCGGTTCTGTTCCCAGGTTGAGGGTTCTGTCCCCAGTCGAGGCAACCATCGATGTTCCTCTCTCTCCCTCTCTCTCTAAAAATCTAAAAATCAATAAATGTGTCCTCGGGTGAAGACTTTTTTTTTTTTTAAACCTATCTATTGAGAGCCTACTGTGTGCCAGGCACTGGGCTACAGCAGAGTACAAACAGACCAAATCTCAGGTCCCAGATAGTTCACCTTTGTGACAGAAGGCAGACAAATAGAATCAATAGTATATAGAGTATATTTTATAGTAGAATGCATGAAGTAGGAAAATAAAGCTAGGGAAAGAGAGGGTGTTCAGGGAAAAATTAGGTCCCAGCTATTGTGGGGAGTGGTGGTGGCTGAATTCGATCAGAAACCCTCAGGAAGGGATGCAGATGCAAGTTTGGCACACACCTCACCACCCCCTATTGTTTGCACCTGGGCTGGTCATACGTTTATATTTCTTGCCTTCCTCTCCATCTCCCCTCACCAGGGGTACTGAGGTTCATGATCCCAATGACCCAGGGGAATGCCCAAGTGCAGTATTTACTCACTCAATAAGGATTCTCTGGACACTGACTGCATGTTTGGCATTAAAGCCTAGACAAGTTCAACATCTGGTTAGGGAGGCCAGATGGCAGTACCTACCTGAAGGATGAACAGGACAGCTAAGTGAGTGGATAACGTTCCTGAGAGGCTGAGAGGGATCTGGTTTAGGGCCATCCAGGAAGACTTCCTGAAGGAGACAGCATTCCAATGGGGCTGAATGGTAGCTGGGATTCTGATGGGACATGTGAAGCAGGAGACAGGGGAGAATTACTGGAATAAGTTAGCAAAGTCAGGGGACACTTGGCAGGTGGCTGGGGCTGGGGTCCTGGAGCATTTGTGGATACTCTTCATGTATGGGATATGCTAGCGTCTGGAGCTGATGAAGTCCCATGCCCATCCCCACCCCAAGAAGTTTCTAGTCCCAGCTGTCCTCACTTCATCCTGAAATTTCCCATTGTCCCTGGAGAAGGCATGATGAGCCTAAGGAGAGGGAGAGAATGAGACACGGACTTCACTTAGTTGCATGTTTGCTGGGTAAAAATGGGCGCTATTATTTAAACCCTCTGAGGTTCAGCCTCCTTATCTTAATAACTGTATATCAAGCTTCTTAATTGATCTATGTGCCTTGGTTCCCTTGTTTGGAAAGTGAACACTGCAGCAGGTTGTGTGAGCATTAGACAAGACAATCGAAGTGAACTGCTTGGCACCTAAGTGCTCAGTTAATTTTGTTGTGTTTATTACTACGACACTTTACATTTGCCTCACAGAGTTGTTGGAGTTAGACAAAGGATGTAAGGCACCTAGCAAAGTGACTGAAGCCTAATAATAAATAGCATCTATTATTAGCATTGACTACATGCACCCCCAAATCTCTGTGAAATTCTCCCTTTGAACAGAACGTTCTTAAAGTGAGGAGACTAGTTTCCCAAGAGGCTGTTAAAGTGCAATCCAGCATGGACAGACTAGCATGCCTGCCCTTACGGTAGCCTGGCTCAGTGTGCCATCGGGCTTTGGTGCAGATGGAATGGAGCCCAGGACCGGTACGTTTCCAGAGGAAGTGAAGTCCAGAGTACAGGATGCTGACTCTAGAGAGGACACTAGGTGTTCCTTGGCAGCCAGGCATTTGATGGCGATGGCAAGAGTGAGACAGGCAGACATTTGCAGAGGATGCAGTCACAACGCGAAGGGTTGAGAGAGGCTGGAGGCTAGAGGTTAGAAGAAACCAGAACCACTTGGGACAGTTGTGGGAGGATAAAGACAGGCAGACCTGAAGAGGCAGCTGGTGGTGGCGGGGTCAGGTGGCAGGGAGAGGGAGTGAGGGAGCAGACAAGCTAGGCTTACTCCATCTGGAGTTGAGGTTGTCTGGTATTAGGACCTTAGAGACCCAAGCCCTGAAAAAAAATCAGTGGAAAACACACATACACACACTTCTTCCAAAATAACTGCTATTTTGGAAATCGACACAACTTTCATGCTCCCTAAGATTGACCTAACCTCCTTCTAGATTCTCTGATTGCAAAACTCCTGGTGATTGAAGCTGAACTACTCCGACCCTCTCCCTCTCTAACTGTTTAATGCCCCTGTCCAGAGAATAAGACTCTCTCATTTGCACAGCACTTTTCAGTTTTCAAAGTGCTTTTCACATTTCTTATCTCCTGCTTTTTCTCAGTCCTTCAAAGTTCTGACCCATCTGGGATTCCATGGGACCTTCCTCCTCACGGAGAGCCCCAAGGCATCGTTCTGTCAGAAGCCCCTGCTACACTCTCCACGCCATGCAGAGCAAGGAGATAGGCACAGCCCGCCCGGGAGGAGTTTCAAATGCGGACCAGACAGACAGGACATGCCGTCAGGAGGGCAGACCAGCACTGAACAAGTGTGTGGAATCGATCCATCAATGACACATAATGGATTGGTTATTAATGTCTCATGTTTATGCTGGAAGAGTTGGAAGGAGGTGGGGAGGCTTTGGATTTCCTTTTGTTCCATCCAAGGTGGAAAGCTTCAAGGAGGAGTTGAGGTTTTGAGGAGTTTCTCTATTCTCATCACATTTCTGGTTATAAAGAAGGCAGGAAGAATGTCCCACTTTTGACAGAGCAGGACGCCCATGCCCAGAAAGGAGGAAGAGTGACTGGTGAAGGTCACGTAGCGCATCAGTGACAGAGCTGGGCTAAAAACAGATCTGCCTTCTGGTCAGGTGCTGTCGTCACCATATTCCTCCACCTCCCCCACCAACTTGCATCAAGGTGCAGCAGGACAGAGCTAGCCAGAGATTGGCCCAGTGGCCCCATGGTGTTTTTTCTGAGCTGCCTCCCAGCAGCATACAGGGACGTGAGCAGGACATCCCAAAGGGACAAAAGTTACTTTTAAAACAGCCTCGCAGCCCCTCTGCCCTCTCCTAACCTTCCAGCTGTGAACCAGCTGGCTTCACACTTGCAAATTGGTTTCCATCACCTGCCTGGTGGACAGAGGTTGCTGTCAACTGTGGCCTGTATCCCAGGACCTAGACCAGGTTGTCAGCAGTCTTGGAATTGTGGCTTTCTCTGTCCATGATTCATTCCAAGAGGGATAAAAACATGCCCTGAAGACATGTCATCTTGACCAGGCCCTCAACTTGAGAAGTGCCAGGAGTTAGGGTTTGCCACAGGACATACACAGCCAATGACAAACTCAGAGCACTGTTACTGGAGCAGGTCCTCTCTAAGCACTTTACACATGTAAATAATAGTATGATTACTAGCCCTACTTACAAACAGGGAAACAAAGCCCCAGAGAGGTTAGGTAATTTTCCCAAGGTCACACAGCTGATCAGTAGTGGAGCTGAGATTTAAACCCAACAGCCTGGTTCTAAAACCAAGATTTTTTTTAAATTTAAGATTGTATTTATTTACTTTCAGAGAGAGGGGAAGAGAGGGAGAAAGAGAGGGAGAGAAACATCTATGTGTGAGAGAAACATTGATTGGTTGCCTCTCACATGCCCCCAACTGGGGACCTGGCCCACAACCCAGGCATGTGCCCTGACTGAGAATCAAACCGGCGACCTTTGGGTTCACAGGTCGGTGCTCAATCCACTGAGCCACACCAGTCAGGGCCTAAATTGTGATCTTCATCACTCTGGAAAGAAGCAAACATTTACAGAAGGTCTTACTGTGTGCAGGAGGATTTTACATAAGCTCAATTTGTGCTCTTATCCCCATTTTACAGATGAGGAAACTGAAGCTCCTCGTATCCTTTGGTGAGGTCTCTCAATGTATAAAAAGGAAGGATATTTGAGATGGTTCATAGGATAGCTCCTCTGCAACAGGCCTTAGTGGCCTAGACACCATCACCACCTAGTGGCCTAATACCTTAAATGCAGGCAGAATACTCAAGCAGAATGCTGGATGTCAAGTTCAACACTCAAAAAAGACTTTGTGTTTTGGTTTTGATTTTTAATTTCTGTGTCCTGAACAACAGAGAAGCATGGTTCACTAATAATAACCTTTTATACTGAAGGCATGGTTATGGGCAGAGTTCACCATTTGTAATGTCATCCTCAAAA